ATGTGATTATATTACTTACTTGGCACTAGATAAAACTACACTTTCCTGATCAGATTGCAAAATATTTGTTAAATGAGCAAGAACGCTGTCTTCATACTGATGAGCTATGCTCGATTTTTCAGTCGGGTCCGGCTGAATTACTTTGTGACATGATAGAGATATGTTGCGTTCGAATGTCATAATACTCCACCGATCTAGCATTTTTGTACCCGCTTTTTCATATTTCTCCATTAATTGAGGTAAATGTGCGTCATCGTCACATGACGAACCCCACCCTAATACGCGCGCTAAATCATTTCCTGTTCCTAAAGGTAGTACTCCAATTTGGCATTGCCTCTGCGAATTTGAAAAATACAAATCTATATCCCTCTTCATTTTACGCAATGCATTTAGTAGTACATTTTAATTATATTAGTTCTTAATGAAAATTATATTAAAATTATATTAGTTTCTAATATAGATTAGATAGATTAGTCATGCATACACTTACCGCCTGCAAAAAAAGTTAATAAAGCTTCGTGTATATAAAGAAGCCTAAAGCACACACACCGATTTCATCTGGAATAAAATCATAAAAAAGACACGCCATGCAGTTTATAATCAAAAGTTTGAAAAAATTAATATCATTGGCTGCAATATCATAGCTCTGAATATTAGCACTGCTCAAACATTGCATATATTAGTTACAGGGCAATTCTTTCGAATATGCATCAATAATTCAAAAGAAGCAGAGTTCGATAAAAAAGTTTTATTTTCCAAGCTGTAATAAATTAAACAAAATATTTGGAATGTCCATTCTTTAATCTATCTCTCTTTCCAAGATAATTAAATAAAATAAACGAAAGTTTAAATGTACATTTTCCGATATCTTCAAAACGTCATCAGAAAGTTGTTACAAGAATATAACTTATTTGAACAAGAAGTAATGCGATGCTAAATCCAATTCAAGTTTTGCACCCATCTCAAAAGATTATAATTTAAAGCTAAAACTATAAATTACCAATCTCTATTTCAAGAATTAAGTTGTCGATATTAGAAAGATGAAATTCAAATCAAATTTAATCATGTCTTATCTAAATAAATCCTCTCTTGTGATAATTCTGATGTTTTTGATGTTTCGAAAATATATATATAGTCATCTCAATACTCGATTGAACTAAAAAAAATCTAAATATTTTGGGAAGAAAGATGTATTTTTTTCAAAAATAATACTTTAAAATATATTATTTATTAATAATTATGTATATAT